GGGGGTGGCAGGAACAATTAGACCAGTCACTCCGACGCCTGCACCAAGCACGGGGCTGCCATTCCCGCGCTGCGCCCAGACAGACAGGCAGACAGACGCGGGGAGAGGGCTGCCCCCACCTCTGGGACCAGCTCCCTCCCACAGAGCGGGCTCAGGGGTGGCTGGCCGGGGCGGAGGCCGCTGAGATGGTGCCTTCATCCTTCCACAACTGCATTCCTGTTGGGGAAGCCCGGGAGGGGGCTGGGGGCAGAAGGGGCCCCTCAGAGGGAAAGTTTAGTCTTTGGGGAGAGGCATCTCTGAATCCCCAAGTCCCTGGCAGGAGGTGCCCTGGTTTCTCCACTCCTGGCGCCTCCAGGCTGGTGGCCTCCCACCGGGCACCCCAGGGACAGGCAGGACCTGCCCCTTAGCATGCTGGCCATCCTCTTCTCTCTCCACCCCCTCCTCTCTCCACCCCCCTCCTCTCCCCACCCCCTTCCTCTCTCTACCCCCTCCTCTCTCCATCCCTTCACCCCCCCCACCTCCCGGTCCCTGTGTGGGTGGAAGGAGAGTCCCACCCAGGCGGGTCGCCTCTCCCACAGGAGGGGGGGGGGCCCACAGGGATCTTTGGGGCCTTGATAGTTAATTTCCCTTAAATCTGGCAGGAGCTGGTCTGTGAGTGTGTGTGTGTATGTGAGTGTGACTGTGTGTGTGTGAGTGTGAGTGTGTGTGTGTGTGAGAGTGTATGTGAGTGTGTGTGTGTGAGTGTGAGTGTGTGTGTGTGTGTGTGTGTGTGAGAGAGTGTATGTGAGTGTGTGTGTGTGTGAGTGTGTGTGTGGGCAAAGCTCTGCCCGCGGGCCGGCTCCGGCTGCGGGTCCTGGGCCCTGGAGAGCCTCAGGGCTCCGGGCAGAGGGCGGGCAGCTGGGGGACCCTGACCTCCCGGCCGTCCTCATGGCCGGAGCGGAGGGGAGGCTGTAAGGGGAACAAAGCCCCGAACACAGCAAAGCCAGGCGCCTTTACCACCACCCCTTGTATTCTTAAATAAAGAGGAAGGAAAAGAGCAAGGGACAGGGCTGGGGAAGGGAGAACCCTTCCAGACCCAAAGGTCCATGAAGGTCCTTCTGTTCTCTGCAGGGGAGCCCGGCTTTTCCTCCGCCCACAGAGCGGGGAGACAGGAGCCCTGAGCCCCCGTGAGGGGTGCGGAGTGTGAACGGTTAACGTGACTCCCTTTAACGCAGAAAACTGTCTGACCCTCGGCCCCCTCGGAGGGCAGGGATGCTTATGGAGGTGCTCTATGTGCACGGTGGACTACACAGAGAACGAAGGGATATGTCCCCCGTCTGCTTCCCGAGGTGAATAACGTGTTCATTTCATTCTGACACGTCCTCCCAGCCCCAAATTCTCTGCTGCGGCTATTGGAAAACATAAAGCCTCCAGCTGTGTAACGTGCCCATCGGAATACCTTACTCATGGGAGCTGGCCTCCCAATGGGAGTTACCCTTCAGGCGATTCCCATGCGGCTGCACCAACACCACAGCACAGCCTGGGGGAGGGCCCAAACCGGCCCCAGACCGGGGGAAGCGGGAAGCCCCTCTCCCTGCTCTGGCACTGGCCCCGTTCCACAAAGAACCAGCTTAAAACCAGCCCCTCCCAGCCAGGGCTGTGCGGGGAGAAATAAGCCCTGCATGTGTAACGCTCCTTTTCAGTGGCAACCAAAACCTATGCAGGTTTCTTGAAAAGTATCTCGAGGACATGTTATTTGTCCAGGGACCTGTATCTAGCATTAAGTTTGATGTGGGATTTTTCTATGTGAAATAAAGCAGAGAAAGAAAGCAACGACAGCAGCAACAACACACACCCACACACACACACACACACACACACACACACAATCGCAGGCCTACGAGTTCTAGGTGTATTGGCTGCATTTTGGAAGGTGCATGTGGGCGGATGCCACAGAACCAAGAGGAACTTATGAAAAATTTTAGCTCCTCAAATACACTGTCCAGTGTGCCTGGGAGGCCTGGAGTGACAGGAGCTGTACTTCACAACGACTCCTATTCTTCTTCCCTCTCCTCAGCAGGAGACCACCCATCGGGGCACCCACACCACTGCTGCTTTAAAGGACGTATTTCTGAACCCAGGGAATATATTCAAAGGTCAAAGCGAGTCCCTTTTTTTGACAAGCGAGGATCTAATCCTCCCTTTGAACACAAGAGGTCGCTCCTGTGATCGAATACTGGGGGAAATACTGCTAATCACTCTATTTGATATATTCTATAAATATACTACAAATTTATTACAATTTTTAACAGATACATTGAATGCATTAAATGCACACATCAGCAAAGGAAATGGGAATAACCTGAGATTCTACTGGAACTTCCAGGTGAAACAGTTAATACCGGTATCCAAACTGGGACTCTGATACCAACTGTGTTAGCAACAGACACCACTCCAGAGCGAAGCAGAGCGATCCCCGGCTCCCTCACATTGCCCCCTAGGACATGGGCAGTGTCCGCTTCATCCTCGGTCCTGGGGCCTAGGGACTGGTTAGCGGATACTTGTTTACAGCCCCGGCATGCTGGCGCAAACAAAACACACTGTGCTCCCCATTAGTGTGTGCCACTGCCCATCAGTAACGGGGTCCCTCCACGGGGCACACCAGCTTCTCTGTCAGGAACTGCTATTGCCATCAGCACAATATTCTTTGGAGCAGCTCATTCGTTTAGGGGTTCCAATGCCACACGGAGCGTGTAGCTGGCGGGCAGGAGGGCGCTTTGTGGATTTCCAATATGAATCCTCAAGCTTCTGGCAGCTCCCGTGGTTTGATTCCACGGCATACAAGTGGCAGGATGGCATATGATCGGCTAAAATCCTGTTTACTTTCTGGTGTTGCACTGGCATCTCTTTATTTTACTGGAGCCAACTTGGTTCACCTACCCCAGGAAACATGCTCGTATACTGGGAAGCCAGCGTCGGTTTTGCAAAAGCAGCTGACAAAGGCCCCATGCGTACAATAGCAGAGACTAGAAACTATCACCAAAACCACACAGCAAACCTGGTAAAGGGATCAACCAATGTGTGCATCCCACTTTCGATTTCTCTCTCTCACCCCCCCCCTCTCTCTCTTTCTCTCTCTCTCTCTCTCTCTCTCTCTCTCTCACACACACACACTCTCTCTCTCTCTCTCTCTCTCTCTCTCTCACACACACACACACACACACACGGACAGAACTTAACAATAAAATAAAAGGGTCGAGCTCCCGTGCGATACCTTCCCTGAAATAAAAGAAAACACAAACGCGTGTTCGGGAGAAAGCCTCCTGAGACCAGGGACACTCACTCGGGCTTCTCCTGAGTTCAGGCAAAACCAAGCCCCAGGCTGGCGGCTCCCCGCTCCCCTCCCGGGTGAGATCTGGGGAAAGATACAGAGGAGGGAGCTTCCTACCCGCCGGCCTGGTTCAGGCAACAAGACACCGAAATTACCCCCGTTCCGCCGCGGCCTGAGCTGTGGGCCTTCTCAGATAGACCTGGCCGCCGCCTGAGATAAGCAACCACTCTTTAGAAGCCCCAGGGGAAAGTGTGGGGGTTCCTCGGGGACCCCCCTAGACTTTGTCTTAGGGAGACAGACGGAAAGATGCCAGGAGCAGGGTGAGATTTGCTGGAAAGGGGACCGGCGAGCTGCAGCGGCATCCCTGCCTCTCCGGGGTGTTTTCAGAGAGAGACCCGCGGGTTCGGAGAAACCCCCATCTCCCTGCTTTATCTCAGACCCGCCCTGCTCACGCCCCCGGACTAATGCACCTCCGAGGTCCCCAGAGACGCGGAAATTTGTCTTTATAATCACCGAGGCGCCGCCGCTAATGGCTCCCGGTCCCTCCCAGACAAAGGGCCGGAGCCGCGGGGAGAGCCGCGGGCGGGCCGGAGCCTCTCCGCCAGCTGCGAGCCACTGGGAGGGCCTTTCGGGGGCCGCGCCCGCCCCCCAATCCGGAGCGAACGGGCCGGGCGGGCCGGAGGGAGAGGGCACTGCGGAGCCGCCGGGCTCTCCCTGCCGCTCCCGCCCGCTCCCCGCCGGGCCCGGAGCCTCCGCTCCTCCCGGCACCCGCGTCCTTGGAGATCTGGGGTCGGAGGGACCGCGGTCCCACGGGAACCGGGGCTCCGAACAGTTCCTCTGGGGGTGCGTTCACCCCGCTCCCGCTTCTCCTTCCCGGGAGGCCGCTCCAGCGGGCCCGGCGGGCAACTCACCCTCCCGGGCGGCCAGCGGCCAGGCTGTGCGCCCCGGCGCCAGAGACCCGGCCGAGCCGAACGGCTGCTCCAGCGGCCCGGGTGCTAGAACCCGGGGTGCGGGGCGGGAGGACCCCATCCTCGGGGAGACCTGCCACCAGCCGCTCGCCCGCGGCCGCAGAGAGTGAGCCCGGCGCCGGCGGGCCCCCGGGAGCGCTGGGCGGAGGAGCGGCGCGGCGGGCGGCCGGGAGGAGGGAGAGGCGGCGCGGCTCCGGGGCCCGATCGGCGGGGTGAGCGGCGGCCGGGGAGCCCGGCCCGGCCCGGCCCGGTGCGGGGAGCCCGGCCCCGGAGCCCAGCCCAGTCCGGCCCGGTGCGGGGAGCCCGGCCCGGCCGGTGCGATGGGCGGCGGGCGCGGGCAGCGGCGGGCCGCGCGGGGCTGAAATATGATAATCAGAGCCGCCGCGCCGCGCGCCCCGCAGCCAATGGGCGCGCCGCTCGCCTGACGTCCCCGCGCGCTGCGTCACCCAATGGCGAGGGGCCGGGCCGCAGCGAAGTTTGAGTAAGAGATAAGGAGCCGGCGCCGGCCGCGAGTCCCGCCGCCGCCGCGCCTCCGCTCCGCCCGCTCCCCGCGCCGCCTCCGGCTCCAGCCCCGATCCCAGCGGCCAGGGCGCGGGGCCGGGCAGCCCCCGGGCACCCCGGGCCGCGGTGCCCCCTCGCCCGCCGCGCCAGCATCCTCCCGGGGGCTGTGCACCCGCCGCGCCTCCACCATTTCCCTGTGGACACTCCTCCCTCTGTCCGCGATGGGAGACATGGGCGACCCACCGAAAAGTAAGCGGCTCTGCCACCTCGGGGCTCGGCGTGCCGGGCTGGGCGTGCGGGGGGCGCTGCGGCCGGCAGGGCCCCGGGCTCCGCGGAGAGACCACGGAGGGGGCCGGCGGCTTGGCTCCTGGCCGCCGCGCCTGCAGGCTTGGCTGTCCGTTCAGATCTCCGGGGGAGGAACGGGATCTGACCTGGGGCGTGAGCTCGCCCGAAGCCCTAGCCTTCCTCCGGGGCCCCTGAGCTCTCCTAGGTTCTGCTGTTGCAAAGAGAAAAGCTTCTGCTGTTGCAAAGAGAAAAGGTTCTGCTGTTGCAAAGAGAAAAGGTTCTGCTGTTGCAAAGAGAAAAGGTTCTGCTGTTGCAAAGAGAAGGTTATTCTGTGGCAAAGGGCTGCCGCCCGCACGCCCGGTGCGCGGCGAGGGCAGCAGCCTTGGACTTGCCAAAGGGAACGAGTGACACCGCACGGATGTGTGCGCTGCGGCCGACAACACCCAGCCCCGGACCGTGCGGGAGCGCTGCCGCGGGGCACACACAGGCCCCCTGCGCTCCCCGCCCGGGCGCTTCCAGCCCAAACCTTTTCTCTGGCTGGACTTGCTGCACAATCGTGCACGGCGGCGGTTATGGCACAGAGGGAGGAGAGGGGGAGGGAATGGAGAAAGAAATACACAATGAACGGGTTTGATTGTGTGCTGGGCTCACAAACGTGGACGAGTCCAATCTGCATTTTGCAAATATTCCACCTCCTTTGGAGAAGTGAGTCAGGGTTTGGGTGGCACACGCTTCAATTACCTTTCCGAAGTGCAGCGCTCTTTAAAGAGAAAGGAAAGAAAGGAAGAGGGGCGGGAGAAGGGAATCGCGCAGAGAGCGATCCTAAAAGTGTGTTTATCTCCGTAGGAAGTAAACGGTTAGTCAATCACGTATTTATTTTCATTTCAGAAAAACGCCTGATTTCCCTGTGCGTCGGCTGCGGCAATCAGATTCACGATCAGTACATTCTGCGGGTCTCTCCGGATTTGGAATGGCATGCGGCGTGCTTGAAATGCGCAGAGTGCAATCAGTATTTGGACGAGAGCTGTACGTGCTTTGTGAGAGATGGGAAAACCTACTGTAAGAGAGATTATATCAGGTATGCTCTGCCTGTCCCGCTTCCTTCATTGTGTGAGATGTCCCCTTGTCTCTCTCCCCACACCTTATTATTTATTATCTGGGGTGAATTTTGCCTGTTTTCGTAGTTTGCCTTCATGGGGTCTGGCGTGCCAAAGTTACCCAGAACGCGTATTGCATACATTAAACTAAACTGTTCATCTTACTTTTTATCGGAAAACTCCCCCGAAAAATTGGACAGTGGTTTTCATAAGTTGTGTGTTACTGAAGCTTGCTTAATTGCTCTTGGAATTTATGGTGCTTAAAATATTTTTCTTTCTCACCCTCCTCCTTTCAAAACAAACAAAAAAATGCATAAATCGGGGTTTTCTAAATTTTAAAAAGGTTGATTTTTATTGTCTTGTGCAGTATTTTTCTTCGCTGTGTGTTTTAGTTCAGGGTTTTATTGGTAACTTGCAAATTCTTGGGAGATGTCAGTGTAATGGGCAAAATAAAAGTTTGACCTACACATGCATTTTGAAACAGCAAATAGCCTTTCACCTTTAGGCTAAGAGTTTCTACCTTGAAAATCTAAAAACCAATCCAAATATTTCCTGCAAAAAGGCCGGAAATTTAATCTTTTTAAATATTAACCCTTTGGTGACATCTGAATGTCTTTTCTATCTTATCTTATCTGAGCTGATGAATTAGACAGAGCAGATCAAATTGCCCATCATCTGTCTACGAACAATTGGTATATTTAGATAATTGAACAGCTTCCTTTCTCACATTAAAATCTGGTAACTGATAAAATGAGCCAATTGCCCATTCTGACGAGGCTAAAAACCACATGAGGGACTTTCTGAGTTTTCTTTTTTTCTTTCAGTTTATTCTGCGTCTAAACTTCATGCTTTGCTAATCGAATACTTTCTTCTGACCTGGGTATATATGTGCGAGAAACGGTTATATATGTGTGTGAGAAACTCCGTTTCCTGTCTTAGGAAGCCAGTCGAACGCCTAAAGAAAATGTTATTGTTTCAATAACAACCAGAAGAGATAATAACCTTTGCTGTTAAGTTGGAAATTTTTTTTTTTTAAATTCTCTAGCGGCTATGAACAAAAACATTAGCTTTTTGTAAGTCCTGCAGTTTGTGGGGCTGAGAACTAATTTAACGTTTAGTGAAAATTTTCAGTGTGCACTTAAAATTTTTCCCACTCGCTTAGAATCCAGGATTTTTAAAATGATTGTAAAAGCATGAAGCGGTGAGTAGAATCTTGACAGACCTATTGGAGGGGGAGGAAGTGGGGAATGGGGAACCCACGGAGGGGGAGGGGTTTTCCCAATTGTTTGGTCACCGGCAAGGTGAAGCCCTCGCCCTATGAAATGGGAGCGCTCGCAGGGAGGAGGCGGAGGGAGGCAAACTTCGGAGGCTACCTTCTAACCTCTGACAAAGGAGCCCTTTTCCATTGTTCACCGGTGTGTGAGCGGCCTTCTGGCGGGGAGCGCTCACTTCGCACCTCGGGGAGCGGTATCTCTGCCCGGAGACCGCGCTGAGCTACCGCACCGCCCGGCCCTGCTCCGGAGACTCGCTGTGGAAGGAACCTGGCTTTTACCTGTCCCTCTCCACTCTCTCAGCCGCTGGGCTTGTGTTTGTGTGTGCGTGTGTGTGTGTGTGTGTGTGTGTATGCGAGTGTGTGCGTGCGTGTGTGTGTATTATATGTGTGTATGTGTGTGTGTGTGTGTGTGTGTGTGTGTGTGTGTGTGTGTTTTCCTCCCCTGGAGATCCTGGAGCTGTGAAAGCAGAACAGAAGGCCCTTCAGTTTTCCTTTCCTCCCCTTCGGCAGTGGTGCCCCCCCCTTTTCTGGGGGTCTCTTTGTAGCAATGCCCGTGTCTGTGGTCGCCGATGCAGGGCCGGGGGCCAGGCCCGGGCCGCCCAGAGGGTCCTCCCCCCCAAAGGCCAGCCGCGGCGGGGAAGAGGTCCCGGCTCCCCCGCAGCCTGAACCGAGGCGGAGGCCTCGGCCCCTGCACAGGGCCCGGCGCTGCCGCCGCCGAGGCAGCGGGAAGGGGAGGCCGGAGGCTGCGGGAGGGAAGGCCGGAGGCTGCGGGGAAACTTTTATGCCGTTGCCCGCGGGGAGCCTCTGTTTCCGGGCGGATCGCCGGACTCACGCGGGGACGGACCTGCAGCCCTCGGTTTCATTTTGTTGTTTCGCTTGTGCACGGGGAGTGGTGTGCACGCCGGCCGCCCGCCGGGCCTTTCCCCTGGGACGGAGGCCGGGGGCTGCGGGCTGTGGGACATTCCTAGGACCCCTGGGCCCGGGGCACCCGCTGGGGGGTGACGGCTGGCGCCGCGGCCCGGGCTTGCGAGCGGAGGCGGTTGTCCCGGTGCGGACTGGGCGGGCCGGGGTGCGATGGGGGCAGAGCGGGTCCCAGGGCGGCCGAGGGGAAGGAGGAAAGGGAGAGGGAAAGCGAGACCGAGCCGCTGCAGTCCTCCCCACCCCAGCCGGCCTGGCCATGCGGGTGCCGGGGCGCTGGGCCTCGGGCCGTAGCGGTGGCCTCCGGCCTGAGTGACCGCTGCCCTGTGCTTGCCCGCCCGGCCCGCCAGGTTGTACGGGATCAAGTGCGCCAAGTGCAGCATCGGCTTCAGCAAGAACGACTTCGTGATGCGCGCCCGCGCCAAGGTGTACCACATCGAGTGCTTCCGCTGCGTGGCCTGCAGCCGCCAGCTCATCCCCGGCGACGAGTTCGCGCTGCGCGAGGACGGGCTCTTCTGCCGCGCGGACCACGACGTGGTGGAGCGGGCGGGCCTGGGCGCCGGCGCCCCGCTCAGCCCGCTGCACCCCGCGCGCCCGCTGCAGATGGCAGGTAGGCCGCCCCCCCTCCCGGGCCGCCCCGCCAGGCCGCCGCCTCCCTCCCCGGCAGCTGCAGAGAGTGACCCCGGGGCCCCGGGCGGCCTGCAGGCACCCGATGCCGGGGTGAGGCTGGGGCAGCCAGGCTCCCCGCCCATTGTCCCTCTGCCTCCGCCTGGGGCCCGGGGCCCCGCAGGCTGTGTGCACACAGGCAGGCACACGGAATGCAGCCGTGTGCACACAGGCAGGCTCACGCCCAGACCCAGCGGCCCGGTGCGCCAGGGCCTCCCACCCCGGCTTCCCGGACCTGGGGCCGCGGCCCCGCCAGGTACCCGCCAGCCGCCGCCTGGTGAAGGGGCGGAGCCTGGCTGCTCCGCTGCCTCCTCCAACCCAGCCAGGGAGGTTTGGGGGCCCCCAGGTCACTTCACTTCTCAAACCCCCTTTCTGCCCCCCACTCCGAAGCATTTTTTAAAAGTATTTTTTATAAAATCCTTTCGCGGGAAAATGCACAAGGAAAGAGAGTCCGGCTCAGGGCAGGCCCGCGCGGGGCTGTAACTTAAAACTGTCAGCAAGCCGAGGGCAGTAATTGCCCCTAAAGGGAGCCTGCCTCCTTAGGCCGGGCCTGGCTGTTTGGTGGGATTCCGTCTTGGGGTCCCGCGGCGCTAACACGGAATTGACCCCTTAGGTGTTGACCTGACCCCTGGGGTCCTGGGGGTGTGGGATTTGTGCCCCGCAGGCCACAGCCTTTCCCGGAGCGGAGGAGGAGAGGCAGCCAGGTCCCGGCCTGAGCGGGGGAGGGAGGGGGGAGCTGGGAGGGGGCTCAAAGGCAGACACTGTTTCCAAGCCTGCCTTCCGGCCAGGAGCAGAGCTGCCCGGCCAGGGTGAGGGTATCGATTCCCTCTAAGCCCTGGCTGAGAAAGCGGGCGCAGCCTCCGCTGGCAGGCAGCTGGGCGGGGGCTGCAGGGATGTGCGACCTGCTGGCGGGGGCACAGGGGCCGGAGCCAGAACGTGGGCGCTTCTGCTCTGGTCTACCTGTGCTCCGCAGTGGGGGCACCGGGGCCGGGTGCCGGGCAGAGTCAGGAGCCCGCACCTCCCAGCTGGCCGCCTTATCTGGGCGGCCGGCAGGGTTTCAGTTTTCCTTTGCTGGGCCCGGCCCCCTGCACAAACACCCAGGTGGAGGGGGAGGAGGAAGGCCAGGGACTGCAGAGCCGGCCCAGATGCCCCATTTCCGTAGCCCCTGGCAGGAGTGGCCATCCGCCCGGAGGTCCCAGCTTCCCGGCAGGTCTGCCCCGGTGGCAGCCACCCTGGCTGGCGTGTCTCTGGCCGCCCTGGCTGCTCGGTGTCAGCTTCCCCGGAGCCCTCTGCGACCTGAGCTCCAGCGTCCGCAGGCGGGTGCTTGGTGCCCCCTGGGCCACCCTGGGCGCTAGGGGAGGCCAGGGGAAAGGGGGGAGGACGCCGAAGGGTGCCGCCTGGGCCCGGCGCAGGGGACGGGCTCTGGGAAGGGCCCTCCGCTCCCTCGGCGGGGACAGAGCGGGGACAGACAGAGGCGGCTTGGGCGCAGGTCACACGGCGTGAGGTCTGGCTCTGCCCGGGCTGCCCGGCTCTGGCTCTGGCTCTGGCTCTGGGCGGCCCCACGGCCCCGGCCCGCGCTCACGGCGCCCCCCGCCCCGCAGCGGAGCCCATCGCGGCGCGGCAGCCGGCGCTGCGGCCCCACGTGCACAAGCAGCCGGAGAAGACGACCCGCGTGCGGACGGTGCTGAACGAGAAGCAGCTGCACACGCTGCGGACCTGCTACGCCGCCAACCCGCGGCCCGACGCGCTCATGAAGGAGCAGCTGGTGGAGATGACGGGCCTGAGCCCCCGCGTGATCCGCGTCTGGTTCCAGAACAAGCGCTGCAAGGACAAGAAGCGCAGCATCATGATGAAGCAGCTGCAGCAGCAGCAGCCCAACGACAAGACGGTGAGTGCGGCCCCAGGCGGGGACCGACGGACGGAGGGCGCGGGGGCTGCAGGCTGCCGGCCGGCTGGCTGGCCTCAGGGCCCTTCCTGATGGGAGCAGGAGCCCTGGCAGGCGGCCCCTCACCCAGTGGAGGGGAACCTCGGTGGGTGGGAGGGGCAGCCCACCACCCCAGCCTTCCCGGGTGGGCTCATGCCCCTCAGCCTTGTTCCCATCCACACAGCGACCCCCCTCCCAGCAGGCGGGGGCGGCAGGGCCTGGCTCTGGGTTTGACAGGCCCTCAGCTCTGGTGCCCTGAGAGGAGGGAGGGCCCAGGCTTGGTTTACTATGAAATCCAGGGCATGGGAGGGGGTACCCTGGAGGCCCCCTGAGCCCCTGCTTACAGCGGCTAGGCCTCCTGCAGCGCCTGGAGGCCTGCGAGATCCCCCCAAGGTGACACACCGGCAAAGACAGGGCACCTTCTGCTCAAGGTCAAGCCCAGGCTGCGGGGATGGCAGGCCCTGGCACTGTTTCTCCCCCCGCCCGCCCCGCTCCTTGCTGGTCATGGCAGCTCCCACTGCAGGCCTTCTGGTGAAAAGAACCTCAAGAGTTCATTTCCCGCCCGCCCCCCCCCTGCTTTTTACTGCTTTGGCCCTATTTTTAAATGCCATAAAACCCGCTGTCATTAAACTTGGCAGGCCGGCCCAGCCTGGGCCAGGGCACTTTCTAAGCTGGTTAGTGCTTAATAGTACAATAGCCGCCAGGCCGGGGGAAGGGCTGGGGTGGTGCTGCAGGGAGAGCGGCCTGGAGAAAAGGAACCGAAAGCTCAGTGAGAGGGCCCGGGGGCCACCCCGGCTCCAGCCGAAGGGCAGCCTCGCCTGCCTCCACGCCTGTGGCCCCGGTGGCCGGCCGGCGGAGGCAGTGGGATATGCCGCCGGAGAGGGGGAACGGGGAAGTCACAGGAGAACTGGGTCTAATGAGGCGGGAGCAGACCTCCCTGTCCAGCCCGCAGTAGCAGAGAGACCGAACCCGGTGAAACCACAGGAACCCCCGCTGTGCCCGTAGGTGCGGCAGATTAACTAACGAAGGAGTCCGTAAGGCCACAGAGAGATAAGATAATGCCTGGGCATATTTGCTCAGCCCCGCGGACAATGGAGGCAGGGCGTGTGCTCATTAACGTGCTGGGATGGGGTGGGGGTCGCCCACAGAACATCCAGGGGATGACCGGGACCCCCATGGTGGCCGCCAGTCCCGAGAGGCACGACGGCGGCCTGCAGGCCAACCCGGTGGAGGTGCAGAGCTACCAGCCCCCGTGGAAGGTGCTGAGCGACTTCGCCTTGCAGAGTGACATAGACCAGCCCGCCTTCCAGCAACTGGTGAGTGGCGGCTCCCCTCGGGAGCGCCGGCCCAGTCTCCGCCAGCAAGGAGGCCCTGCTGGGACCTCCAGGCCAAGAGAGACCCGGGGGTGGGGTGGGGTGGGGGTGGAGGCGGGTGCCTCCCAGGGCCAGGGCTGGGCAGAGACGGGGGTGGCTGGGGAAGAGGAGGAGCAGGCTCCTAAGAAAAACAAACCTCCCGGAGCCTTTTCTGGGAGAGCCCGTCATCCGACCGTCCAGGTTGCATTGTCTGTCAGTCCCGCTTTGATGGATTGGCCTCAAGGTCCGGGCTAAAGAGCCGGGCGTGCGTGGGAAGGCGCCGGGGTGGCAGAAGCACCCTCCCCGGCTCCCGCGTGAGGGGGGACTGGAGAGCACCTGGACATTTAACCGGCGTCAGTACATCTCCTCCGCCCCGCTCCCGGAGAATGGGTGTCTAAGGGCCGAACCCACAGAGATGTGAGTGATGTGGACGGGCATAATCAGTGTCCTAACCAGTGGGCAGCCGGCGCCTGAGTGGGTGCCGGTTCAAACAGGTCAAGAAAGAGCGTCCAGTGATTCAAAGATAGGACTGATCCTTTGCGTTGCTATAGCTCTTTCTGGGACCGGCCCCCATCTAAAAGGGAGCATTTTTAAGTAGACGATGGAAGCATTTTTAAGCTTAGGAGTTCAAATTCTTCACTTAATGACATACTATCGAACATGTATTTAGCGAGAGGGACATGAGTTCTACCCACCAGGTACGATGGGAAAATCTCTTAGCGTGCTTTACCATCCAGAAAATAGAAAAGGAACTCATTTTCACCTACAAAGGGCTTCAGGGTCAAGAGAAAGAAGATGATTCAATATGTGTCCTTTGTGAGATGTGTACACAGGAGGTTTTTTTTTTTTTCCTGCTTACATAGTAAACAGCCCTGGAGAATCTTGTATGACATAAGATCCATCCTAAAAGCTGTTCCTTCCTTGGGAATGACAGTTTAATGGAGGTTCGCTCTTCCCCTCACTTTTACCTGGAGGCTCTGTCTTCCTCTGTGGCCACAGGGAGGCAGTGGGCGGGAGCCCGCGGATCCCCGGCTGCGCCTGGTTTCCCTGGGTAAGCCAGCCGGTCTGGGAAAATCCCAGGAGTCCTCTGACCTCCCAGTGGGAGAGCTGAGCGGCAGGGCTAGGAAGGTGGGCTCTGGAATGAGGAACCATCGCTTATTTTAAAGTCAGGGTAATCTCAGGAGTTATTTGGGTGAAACCTGGATCTTGGGGGAGGTGGGGGAGGATGCAGAGCAGCTTCCGAAAGAAACTTCGGTGATGGCTGTGAGGGATGTGAGCAGAGGTAGGAATCCTGGCGGGAGGCCTGAGTGGGGGCTGGGTGGAAAAGGAGCTTTGCAACAGCCACAGTACTTTCTAGAGCCCCATATTTATAATCCCTGGACCTCCTCTGGGAAGGAAGAGTCAGGCTGGGAGAGAGGGAGCTGAGACAGAGAACAAGGAAGGACACCCAGGCTGCCAGCCCTCTGAGGAGCCCGGAGTCCCGGCTCAGGAGCTGAGAGTGTGTGTGATGGATTTTCTCCTCCGGAGAGAGGCTCTGATGCCTGCAGACAGACTCGCCTGCTCCCCGGGCAGCAACGCGGGGTGATTTTATCTGGAGCATGCGTGGTGCCATCGGACAGGGGGAAACACGTTTGTTCTTAAATAATTTAACGCAACACAATGCTGGGAATTCAGGTTCCGCTCTGGCAGGGCTCTGGGAAGATGGAGAGGATTTCTCCTTGAATCCTTCTTCCGGGGAGGCGTGCTTTAACTGTGGAAATGGAGTCCTATACCCAATAGTTCTGTGCGTGTCTGTCTCCCTGTCTGCACGCTCCGGTACTTGCAGGCACCCACATAGACAGACGGCACCCACATAGACGGAAGGCACCCACATAGACGGAAGGCACCCACATAGACGGAAGGCTAGATTGCACCTCCTTGTATGCACATGGCCAAGGCTGCCTTCATTCCTCTCTCACTCTCCATGCAGGTCAATTTCTCCGAGGGAGGCCCGGGCTCGAACTCCACAGGCAGTGAAGTGGCCTCCATGTCCTCGCAGCTCCCCGACACCCCCAACAGCATGGTGGCCAGCCCCATCGAGGCCTGAGGACCGTTCTCGCCCCTGGTGGAGCGGTGGGAGCCGATCCCATTGAACTCCGAACCAAAAGTATTTAACGCCCCCCATCCACGGAAACTGAGTCGAGGAAACGAATGCTCCATGAAATGCACGAAGCCTGGTTTGATGACAAGGTAATATGGTAGCAACACTGTGAAGACAATCATGGGATTTTACCAGAGCGGAAACCAACCACAGAGCAACGCCCGGACCCAACACGCGCTGTCCAGTGTGACCTTAGGAGGACTGAGGGAAAACAAACAAACCAACAAAAAGACGTTTTTAAAACGTAGAGGATTTATATTCGAGGATCTCAAAAAAAAAAAAAAAGCGCTTTCATTTCCTTGCCCGTCGGAGAGCCTCAGAGGCAGGGCCTCCCGTCCGCCCCGTCTGAATGGTGCTGTTTCTGGGCGGCCCGGCCTGCCAAGCTGGGCCCCAGCTGGAGGAGGAGCAGCTGAAAGGCCCTTTCAGAGGTGGCGCTGGCCGCGGGGTTTCCAGGTGACTTGACAAGGGGTTCGTGGAAAGCCTGGGTTTCTTAGCATGTCCCTTTTCTTTCCCTCCAGCCCCGTCTCCCTGCCTCCCCCTTTTTTTGAGATCCATCCTCTCTTATCAAGAAGTCTGAAGCGACTTTAAAGGTTTTTGAATCCAGGTTTGAAAACCGACGTATAAAGCATTGCAACAAGGTTACCTCTATTTCGCCACAAGTCTCGGGATTGTGTTTGCCCCTCCTGTCTGTCCAGGACTCTCCCCCAAAGATGTGTATAGTTATCGGTTACAATGACTGTTTCTCTCTCTTTCTCTTTCTCTCTCTCTCTCTTTATCTCTCCTCTCTCCCTCTCTCCTCCCTCTCTCTCTCTCTCTCTCTCTCCTCTCTCTCTGGAAATAAAGAGGAAAAGGAAAAGGAAACTTTTTTTGTTTGCTCTTGCATTGCAAAAAAAATTATAAAGTAATTTATTATTTATTGTCGGAAGACTTGCCACTTTTCATGTCATTTGACATTTATTTTTTGTTTGCTGAAGTAAAAACAAACAGAACAGAAGACAAAGGTTGTGTACCGTGGTCTTTGAATTATATGTCGACTCCTATGTGTTTTGTCATTTTTTTTTCTCTCCTTAAATATGTGAAAAATCAAAGCGCCATATGTAGGATTCTATCTGCAGGACTATTTCACTAATAAACGTTTGGCATAGATAAATAAATGAACGCTACGCCCGGTCCCTCTTTTCTATGCTTACAAGCGAGCAGGCAGCCGGCGGTGGGGGGGCGGTGGCCGCCGTGGCCCGGGCTCCCCGCAGGGAAGGCAGAGCTGAAGCCTGGAGCTCCCCGCTGAGCCCTGGGACTGGTTTTGGAAAATGAGGTGCTGTCCTCCTGCCGGCTCCCGCACCTCCTCCCTCTGTCTCTTTTCTTGCCCTGCCCGCTTCCACCACACCCACCGCAAATAGCAGAGGAGGGTCCAGCTTTATTTTCTTAGACTACGTGCTTGCTTTCACCCGGAGTCTCCTGCGTGGGCCTGTGGAAGGGACCCCTCCTTCAAGGATGAGCTCTTGATCTCAGAGGAGCTTTCTGCGTTTTCTGTGTAGCCAGGGAGGCCGGACCACTCCTGCCCATCGGGGGCAGCCCTGGAGATGCCGCGGTGTTGATCAGTGGGGGGTGAGGATGTTTCCAGATCTGTCAGCCTGTGTGTGTCCTCGCCTTCCCCCACCCGGTCCCAGCCTGTTTCCTAAGCCCCCCAGCCCACCCCCACTTCTCCCTCAGTGCCGGTTCCCAAGACCTTGGAGGGGTGGCTGGCTGGGTCCCGGGGCACTGAGGCGGCCACCGCCTTTTCAGGGATGGGGGCCCAAGGACTCCCCTTTCTCTCACAATATCCCCCGCCCTGCCCTGAGCAGCAGCCCCCATGGGAGAGCCAGCGTCCCGGGACAGGGCGGCGCCCCGTCCAGAACCCGCTTCCTTCCCGCAGCCGATGCCTCCCCTCAGGGGCGTACTGTTAGGGTTTGGGGCTCCACCTTGTGCCCCTCCCCCATGACATTTTGGCTCCTCAGAAGCCGGATCCATTTGCACTGGGGAGCGTCCTGTTGTGATTTAAGTATCTGACAACGGGTAATTCGGAATACCTACGAAATCTGGGGAACCCTGATCCCCAGTCTGTGCCTGGTGCCCCGGGACCCCTGCCAGGGAGCAGGGCGGAGGCGGAGGCTAGCGGGGGAGGGGGGGGGGAGTATCCCAGCTCTCAGATCCCAGTGCTGTGCCCCTTCCTAAGCCTTCGGGAGTCAGGGAAACGGGCTCAATTAGGCTTTTGTTTGGCTGGGCCCGCGGAAGGGTTAATTACAGGCCCACGTGGGGCGGAGAGAAAACAAACTTTGCATTGACAATGCGGCAGCGCCTGGGACCGGCCCCTGGCTCGCTTTGTGGCCTCTATTCTTGACGGAGGGGCAATAATTTGGCCTGGGTAATGGTGCTTGTAGTTGTTCAGAAAAACAGGAGTTGTATCTTATCTCACACGGATCTTCTCTGGGGAAAGCTCCCTCTTCCCCCACCCCACCCCTTTCCTTTCCTATTTGTCCTTTCTGTTCTCCCTGCCTGCTTTTTGCAGGGGACCTGCCTGTTGGCTTCCTGCTCGCCATCTCTGTCATCTCTATGGGTCTGCCTTTTCCGTTTTCCCTGCCATCACACCTGGGACAGATGGATAAGGAACCCGGAAGGGCGGAAGGCCCAGTGTGCATGCCCGCTGGTGTCACCAAGTCACTGTGATTGTGCCATTGCTGGTCAGGGGGGTCCTAGTCCTTAAGCCCCCCGCCCCGCCCCCACCTTAGCCTCTGGTGACCACGATGGTGACCATGGAGACGGGGGAAAGACAAACACACAAAATGCCAAAAACTTTAGGGTTTGAATGCCATGGGAGGACCCCGTGTGAGGCACACATCTTGGCGATGCCTCATCATTCCAGCTTTTATTCTAAGATTAGGACGGGGTTGGGGGGAGGGTGGTTACAGATATAGATGTCCGTGCGTCCTGCAGTGCTCAGCTTGAACTGAAGGGCAGTCATTTGGGAGGGGGTGGTGAATGGCTTGGTTTCGCTTGCTGGATTTAAGACGTTTGCTGCCTGATGGCAGAGAAGGGGCGGACGGTCCAGCATTCTGGTTCCTGTATTGTTCACATGGAAGGTGCGCTCCCGTCTCTGCTCCTGGCACATGCAGCTGAGACGGCTCCTCGTTTGCACACCTCCCTGGGCGCACTCCCTCCCCCCTGCACACCTCAGGACCCGCTCTTCTCCTGGAATCCCTCCTGCTGGCTCTTCCCTGGTCCTCCCTCCCCTGAGGACGCTGCATCCTCCCTCTGGACACCTTGACTCATGCTCTCCGGCTGCTGCCAGCTACACCGGGACGCACTGGCCGCAGCCGGCCAGGGTGCTCCCCTCCGATGGGGATCCGCAGGGACACCCGCACCCTCACCCACAGGACTGCCCCCCTTGGGAGCAGTCACCTCCTGTTTCAGGCGGCTCTGTCTTTCCTCGGCATCACGCGGACCTGGCTTTTCTTCCATGAAAAAGAGATCCCTTCCCAGCTGGAATGACATGCCTGACCATACCTTTCTTCATGGAATTAACACTCCGGTCATCGGAGATCCTGTGTGGGGGGGTACCCACTTCCCACTTCACAGCTTTTACAGGGTTCCATATTGAAAGGTGACTGGGTGCCACTCTGCCTCTGGGTGCTGGGGGGGGGGTGTTAACGGATGGATTGGAAGGACCCCTTTCCTAGCCCAGCCCGGCCAGCCGGAAGGACATGTGCTCCGAAGGCTCCGAGAAGTTCTCTGCATTTCCCCGAGCACCTTGAAATTAAGTCATAAGATCAAGCATTCCCACCGAAATGTCTTGTAAATTCCATGTGGACTTACTTAGCCTTTTCCTCTTTCTTCCTTTCTCTTTCTTTCTTTCTTTCTTTCTTTCTTTCTTTCTTTCTTTCTTTCTTTCTTTCTTTCTTTCTTTCTTTCTTTCTTTCTTTCTTTCTTTCTTTCTCTTTCTTTCTTTCCTTTCTTTCTTTCTTTCTCTTTCTTTCCTTTCCTTCCTTCCTTCCTTCCTTCCTTCCTTCCTTCCTTCCTTCCTTCCTTCCTTCCTTCCTTCCTTCCTTCCTTCCTTTCCTTTCCTTTCTTTCCTTTCTTTCCTTTCTTTCCTTTCTTTCTTTCTTTCAAGGTGGGGGGAGTTAAACCTCCCTCCAAACCCCCAGGAAAGCGACCATGTGTGGGAACCCGCCAGCCAGGTCTAACCTCCCCTCCTGTAAGTGACCTAGGCAGAAAGGACTGACTTTGGTGTTTGTCACGGTCCTGTCGCCAGCTTCTGTACTGGAGATTTCCAACCCGAATTATGCTGGAGTTCCGCTACGTATCCTTCCTCTGCTGGTCAGCAGTCAAGGAGGCAGGTCAGGTTTTCTCTGGGGGCACATGGGTGGGGGGGGAGGGGAATTTCTGTGCCTTTCCTGTAAAAAGCGTCTTGGAGGTCTTGAATGCTCCTCGTTAGCGCCTTGGGAATAAAAACTGCTTGCTGGCCCTGGAGCGGCTGTTTTTAAACCAGCACACAGCGAGCTCCGGGCCCCTCTGTTTACTGATCCCTCCTGATGTTGTTTTCTTGATAAGGGAGCCGGCCACCGAACGGCTGTGCAGCCCTGGCGCCGCAAACATAAACTTCACAGCTCACTCTGCCCTGCCTGATGGGGATCTCTCCTCACCTCCGGCTCTGAGGTGCAGACAGGGCCTGGTTCACAGGCCAGGGGAGGGAGGGGAGGGGAGGAGAGGGGAGGGGAGGAGAGAGGAGGGAGGAGAGGGAGGGGAGAAAAGGGGAGGGAAAGGGAGGGGAGGGAGGGGAGGGGAGGGAGGGGAGGGGAGGGAAAGAGAGGGAAAGGGAGGGAGGGGAGGAGAGGAGAGGGAGGGGAGGGGAGGGGAGAAAAGGGGAGGAAGGGAAGAGGGAGGGGAGGGAAGGGGAGGGAGGGGAGGGGAGG